CTAAATGTTTCAGTTTGATGAAATTATTTTGTCATCTCTCTGTATATATTTGTATAAAATGTAAATAGCTGATATAAGATATTTTACTACTGAATTGAAATAATATCAATAAAATTGAACATTTTTTTTCTAAAGTTTAAGATAGCAAATGTAAAAAGGCATGATTATTTCTATGCTAACAATCACAATCATTTCAATATCCATAAGAATTCTAGTTATAGCTACAAGATCAAAATATAGTGGGTGATCGGTTAACGAACAGATCAGTTAANTAGTGCAAATATACTGTGAATTCCTATTTTTTGATAACAATCAAAACTCCTTTGAATTGAGACCAGATGATATAAATGTCTGACAAAGTTATTATATACTAGTCTGTACAGTACAATTTATTTCTTGCCACATAAGAAACTCACCACCAGAACCACTTTGTACACCCTTGATCATACAATATTTATAAATCCAGCATTAATACTTAGACCATTGAAGCTTGCAATTTTGCTTTTTTTTTCAATGTAATATTTTGCTTTTTTTATTTCATGAGTCAAATCAAGCACTTAATTAGGAAATAATGTCTTTTGCCACACCTTGAACAACAGTATCTGCATGCAATGCAATCAATTCAAAACTTTTTGGAGCACGGGAGACGTCGACATTGACGTTCTACCCAGTATATACTGATCGGATAGTATTCCCCCGAACTTTGAAACCCTCCCTCGTAATTCCAGTCTTATATTTCTGACAGAAACAATTCTTTTACGTTTTCTTCTGAAAATGCAGATTTATGCCAATATCTGCTATTAAAGATCTTTTGAAGAAGGGGGGATGTCAGAAAAATGGTCTTAAAATGTCATCCAAACCAGGTTGAGGTTAATAGGCCCAGGAATCTCTACAGTTACAATGCTATTAATTACTTCTGAAAAGTCGTGGAGAGAGAAAAGCAATCAACATTAGACAGATTCTTCAACCCCCACAAATGAAAAAAACATGACTAATAAAAATGCAAGACCGTATATATATATATACGGTCTTGTGTTTTTAAATTGTAAAGTATGTATTTTTATTATTACATACGAATAAACGTAGTAAGAAAGTATATATTTTTTAATTTTTTGGGGTCTCCAGAACGAATTAATCAAATTCCCATAAAAACCTATGGTAAATCGATAATTGGTTAATGTACAATTCGGATAGTGAACAAAGTCTTGGAACGGATTATGTTCGTTAACCGATCACCCACTGTACAAAATTTCTTAATATATGTAGCAACTATTATGAGAATATAATTACTACTGTATGAGTAATATTATTTACATACTGATCACTTAAACATATCTATTACTTCTGATCAAATATGATTTTATAAAAAGCTAAAATAGTTAATATCTTAAGCCAAATACAGTATATCTATAAACTATACACAAGACACAGCAATATTGATACTAAATATTTTATTCAAGAAATAATGCTTTTTTTTATTAGCAATTTACCAAAAGGTTTTGCTATCTCTAACAGAATATTTTATGAAAACAACAGTAGGTACATTTTAATTCAAAGTAAAACATACAATTAACTTAAATCAAAGTTAATTGCATGGTAATAACTGACATTTGGAACAAACATTTTTTTAATACTTTTTAGAAACTTTTTCCAACTGTATAATGTACCAATTTGAAATATATATTTCTGTATTTTTCTTATTATTCATAAACATCTTTAAATTAGTATATTTTATACATCTAAATTTTTATATTCTAAAAAATTTTAATTATTTACATATTTCTTCTCATCATTAATAAATAGTTTAAAATATTTTATTAACAAAACTATCAATTTTTTAAGTAAAGCTAACTATTTTCTGTGATAAAAGCTAGCAAATATATATTAGAAAAGAACAAAGAATTTAAAATTAATAAAATATAAAAGTTTAATAAATTTACAACACACATCACACTTGAAAATTACAAAAATGTTATAAAATAATTTTCTTAAAAAATAAATTATTTTCATTATCATCCTTAAAAAAAAAAGTCTTCAAAGCATAGATATAAATTTTAATATTTCTCAAAATATGATTAATTTTTTTATTTCTAATGTTTTGTTAATCTGATTATATTTGCTCTAACCTGATATCTTGACTCTTGTATGACAGACAGACCTATATAACTAATATATGCAAAAATTCTGGTTGTAAAACCGTTCAAACAGATCATCATTGCCAAATATATAAAAGTTGAATACTTTTAAATAAAATACTTAACTCACCTATTGTCATATAAGCAAAAAGTATTTTTATATTTAAATATATTATATTTTTAATCTCAATAATTAACTGATGAATAAATATACACTTTTACAAGATATTTATCTTGTTAAATGTGTCTTTACTAAGCTACATTTAATGTTGTTGTTATATTGAAAATTTTCACTAACTTAAAAATTACACATATTTGTGTAAAAACTATATTTTGCTAGCATGGCATAAAAGCTAGTCTAAGAGTTTGTGTGAGTCTAAATACAACAAATGGCATAATGTTCTGGTTTCAAACAGTTTTCAGTAATCAGGATTTTTACATAGATTATATATTTAGGTCTTTTTTACTCATGAGAGGTTTCAGAATCAGGTTAAATATTGTAATCTAGCATCTGAAAAAATTTACTGCAATATTCAATAAAAAAACAACTTAGAAACATAAGTAATTTATCATGTAGAACTTTTGTTTAAATACTGACTAATATTCAAATAATTTATATGTTAAAAACTATTATTTCTCATGAAAAGATCATCACAAAATACTACTTTTAATATGTTTGTGTTCAACTGAATGACTAAATTATTAATAAATAAGAAACAGCAAAAGTACAAAAACAAATAATTAAGATCCAGATATACAAATTGTAATTCAAGTCAATCTACAATTTTATCTGCATATTTGTTTCTTCTCTGGGCAATTAGTGTTGCAGTATTTATATATAAAACAAAAGCCTTTCACATATGAAACTATGTAATTGTCTCCATATTTTGATAATTTTGTTTGTTATATAGAGTACAAGAATAATTTTATTTTCTAAACTAACTAAATAAATGTAATATTTCAAAAAATAATTCTTCCTATGGTGAAATTAAAGTCCCAGGATAAATGTGTCCTGGTGTTAATGCTTTGGAAAGTTTAATTTTATAACCACCAATTCCACCACCACTGCCACTAGGATATCTAATGCCAACATGCAAGTCCTATTTTTTGTATCTCTTACAAATTAGTGCAAATATACTGTGAATTCCTATTTTTTGATAACAATCAAAACTCCTTTGAATTGAGACCAGATGATATAAATGTCTGACAAAGTTATTATATACTAGTCTGTACAGTACAATTTATTTCTTGCCAGATAAGAAACTCACCACCAGAACCACTTTGTACACCCTTGATCATACAATATTTATAAATCCAGCATTAATACTTAGACCATTGAAGCTTGCAATTTTGCTTTTTTTTTCAATGTAATATTTTGCTTTTTTTATTTCATGAGTCAAATCAAGCACTTAATTAGGAAATAATGTCTTTTGCCACACCTTGAACAACAGTANAATGCGTTAGATTGTCTCAATGCTGACGTTTACAACGTATATATTCTTGGAAATTGAATATTCGAGGAATTGTTGTGTATAGTTGACAAACTCGTAACATTCCTAAACTCGTTTGAATAAAACAAACGTTATTTCATTAAAAAAAAACCCCTGAAAGGAAAATCCGGGTAACTTTTACTCACAGAATCGTACTTCTATAATCACTCCTCGTTATTGATGACGACGAAGGCGTTCTTAGAAAATTATTTATAATAACATTAAACAATATTCCTCGTTTCCAACCGATTTATAAATTATTAATTTTTTTTTTCTTATATTTATAACTAATTAATTAATCACTTTCTAAAACACTCAATGGATTCTTTTGGTCTAGCTCGTCGTTTAAATAACTGAAAAATANATAATTTTTACTATTTTTTAAATTTTAATTAATAAGTTAAGCTTTTAAATTTAAACTCCGTATTAGTTTTAATAAATCTTCTACAGGTAAGTTAAATATGAGATAATGAAATCGTATCGTGGAAGACCCAGCAATAGAAATTTTATATAATGTCTTTACTTCGCTACGCCATTATTTAGTATTCTTCGAGAATTCTAAGGGAATAAAAAGTGAAATATCTGATAGAGATCTGAATCCAATTAACATGTTGGGACTTTAGTGGGACGTAGAGGATCAGTACGAAAACTCGTTCTACAATCAAAATGCCGTTCTCGCGACAGTTAGCCATTGGAATAATGCGTTAGATTGTCTCAATGCTGACGTTTACAACGTATATATTCTTGGAAATTGAATATTCGAGGAATTGTTGTGTATAGTTGACAAACTCGTAACATTCCTAAACTCGTTTGAATAAAACAAACGTTATTTCATTAAAAAAAAAAACCCTGAAAGGAAAATCCGGGTAACTTTTACTCACAGAATCGTACTTCTATAATCACTCCTCGTTATTGATGACGACGAAGGCGTAGCTGAGCTTCCAAATGTGTCCTTGGCAGTGGCCTTGAATGCAGGTGTGCGTCAACTAACTCCATTTTGATTCAAGTTTAAGTAATAATCGCAAAATTTATAGTAAAATCTCTCTTCTGTTTATTCAAATGAAGATAATCGTCAAATTCTTTAAGTTTAAAAATTGATTTTTAATAATATAAACGTAATACGAATTCGAATCTAAATAGGTCAAACTGGCGGAGCGAATGAAACAATTATTAATTTAACACGTGTTTCCTCTCCTCATAAAGGAAGGAATTAATTTGAAGTTGTGAAATTGCGAAAATTTGTGACGTAATTTTCCGAGTAGCTTTAGAGGAAATTTTTTTTTTTTTTTCCTATTCCGAAAAATCTCTTCTTGATCTAAAGAGAGTTTTTTTTTTACGTAGTCGTACTGCCTACAGAGTTCTTCAGCGAAAGTGTACAATTCATTTCTTATTACGGTATAAAAAATAAAGTGAAGGTGTATTTTTAAAAGGTAAGGCATAACGCAAATGGAAATTACGATATTTGGCTTTCTACCCGGAAGGTGTCTTTCACGACGATGGCGTAACTGTTAGAGCAACAATGGAACGGAACCGTCCGTTATAAAGAAACTAGACACTTTCGCTTTTCAAGGTGACCCTTCTTCTACCCGGTGGCGGTACTAGTTTTCATAAACCGGGCGTTGTCGTTGTTGATGTGCCACGTGCTACTTTCACAAAATCTTATCATTCTGATCACTTTGGGATCAATCATGACCAGTTCGACTGAATTAAAATCTGGTTTATTTAAATATCATTATTGATTGTCTACTTTACACTACTGCATTCATTTAAGAGGTAAAGGATCTATAATCACGACTCATCTTTTTCACCATATGATATTGCTCCTTTAATTTATTATTTGTTATAGAGGAATCGATTATCGGCTCATTCAAGTTTTGGAAGATGAAAAATAAATTTACGTGTTTCATTCAATTAATTCTTCTTTTGATGTTTAAATATATCGGAAAGAATGGATGATTATTTTGATATTAAATTATACAAATAATTAACTAATTTCTTTTTTTAACATTCTGTTAAGGATGTAAACAAGTGACGTGGGAATATTTATCTGTATTTAATACTGTATCGTAGCTTGAGGATATATTTCATAATAAGTTGGTTAGAATTTCGGCACTGTTGTTTAAATATAAAGCATAAATAAATAGCATTTTTACATATGTCAGATGTTTATATATTAAAATTAATATAATTCCATAGTAAATTTTTAATAATTCACCCTTTTTAGATGATTCTCAATGTTCAACTGACAGCTGGCAAGTGGTGGATCGTAGCAGACCCGTTTCTCACACTCCTCCAATTTCTCCCCCGCCTCTTAGTCCGGAAAGGGTATCAACTACAAACTACGATCCAAAACTGATTGAAAGAATGCGACTTACCATCACATCTCTTCCTGTTCGTCTTTCTTCTCTTCCAGTACCTGTGATAAAAAGTGTTCCATTACAACCACCATCTCCCGACAGCGATAATACCCAAAATTCTGAAGAATTTTCAAAAGGATTACATCCAGCTTTATCATCTCGAATATCAGAACTTCAACAAAGGGTATGAATATCTTCCATATAAATCATATATTTTTTTTATTAAAAAAGACTTATCTTTTATATTAAATTATAGCTAGGGCTTCCTTCAAATGTGTCTTTGGAATTCGTCAATGGAGGACACGGAATTAAAAATCCTATGTTAAGATCTGATGATATGCGAGACGAAACTATAGACGATCCTAAACAAATAAATAAAGTATCTGAAGACAACAGGTAAATATATTTGTAGCTACAAAGGATAACGTTTGGATAGTTAATTTGATTTGGCATTTAATGCTATAAAAGTACAGTATCTACTTCGAAAATAATCAAATCGCTCTTGCAATAAATCGATAATCGCTCTACATCAATCCCGTGAGATGACAAATGGAGAAAAGAAGATCAGGATGTCTCCTTTCAATCCAGGAACTGGTTTCTTACTGGAGATTTTCATAAGATTTCAGAACTATTGCTTAATGAAAAGCTTTTTAAGAAGTAAATACTGAAAAGTAACAAGAATATAAGTAAACTTTATAAGAGTGGAGATTAAGATTTATTCCATTAACACTTTAATCTTAAAGAAGATAAAAGTAATCTATTTTAAATAATGAACTTTATAAAAATTAAATCTTGGTAAAAGATCACTACTAAAATCATATTTTCTAAAGCGACTGTTAGGTCTAAATTAAATTTATTAGAAATTAGAATGTTTCCTTTATGAAATTAAAAAAAGTATATTGTGAGGTAATAAATTTATTGTTTAAAAAATTTTTAGGTTCAATTGCCAGATATGTGGCAAAACCTTTGGCCTGCAACGTCTGTTAAATCGTCATCGTAAATGTCACAGTAACATGAAGCGTTATCTTTGCACGTTTTGTGGAAAAGGTTTCAACGATACTTTCGATCTCAAAAGACACACCCGAACCCACACAGGTAATAAGCGCACTAATTAAATAATATGTTTAAAATTTTGATATATTAATAATTAATTAATATATAAAATCTTTACAGGTGTTCGGCCCTACAAATGTAGTCAGTGTGAGAAATCATTCACACAACGCTGTTCTCTCGAATCTCATAAATTAAAAGTTCACGGAATTCAACATAACTATGCCTACAAAGAAAGGAGAGCTAAAGTTTATGTTTGTGAAGAATGTGGTCACACCACAAGCGAACCCGAAGTGCATTATATTCATTTGAAGGAAAATCATCCTTACAGTCCGGCGCTTCTCAAATTCTACGATAAACGTCACTTCAAATTTACAGATTCGTCTGCACCCATCATGTGTTTAAGATTAGCAACTTCTCAAGCGTGCAAAGAAACCTGAATCTCTGCTCAATTTCATACGTGTCTTTCCATTCCTTGCTGCAGTGTGTTTCAAAAGTAGTTTTACTTGTTAGGGGGAGAGAAATATCTAGTTTATATTTTAGGTAATAGATGGCAGTACAGATCGTCGTAATATTTTTAATATTTTTCGGATAAATATTAATGGATCGTCAATATTTTTGTAATAATATTTTTAATTTAAAGCGCTTTTATTTGTCTCTTATTTTTAAAAAAAAAATAAAATAACCGATACTGCAGATTAACTAAGCAGATAATAATAATAATAATAATAATAGAGGAGGTCTCTATTTTGTAAATAATTGAACGTCGTAAGATTCCTTCATCCTTTCAAAGAATGAGGTACACAATCTCTTAGAGTATGGAAATGGTAATTTGGGTCCTTTTACGCTTTTGAAACACTCTGTATTATAATGTACATACAGTATTTTATGTATCTCCTAATGAGTTTTGAGTACAAAACTACTATTTTTTGATCTTGCTGAGAATTTATTTGTTGTTGTTTTTTCATAAAACATTCCATAAAATATTTTTTATATTAAAAAAAAAAACTCTCTCAAAGTGGCTTCCCTAAAAAGTACAATTTATTATTATTTTTTTAATATAATTGGATCGCTGTTCTCTTTCTATTAAAAATTGTACAAAACTTCCTGAAAGGAGAAAAGCATCCTTATATTTTTTAACAAAGTCGTTCCTATTTAATTCTAATATTGAAATGTTGCACCATTTACAAAAGGGATAAGCAAAAAGTGCCTTTGTCTTAACACTAATAGAATTACTGGACAACTGTAAATAAACTTTTTTTTTTTTATAAAGCTTTGTTTAAAATNTTATAATTCAATTTTTTAAAATGATTTAAATATAAATATTAATGACTTACGCATCAAATTCAGATCCTATTATGTATTAAGTAATTTTCAGAATTTTTTCATTTCAGCAGAAATAATTTACTTAATGTATTCTAAAATGAAATGATAAGCTTGATAATACCACTTAAAGTGGCTTTATTGAAAGAATTGTAGCAAAGCAGCAGTACAATTGTTTCCTTCAAAAGCCTTAAAAAACAAATCATTCAAAGCAATCTTCAGCAGCTAAATTAAAGTGGCTTTACAAGGCAATGAACCCATTTAAGAAAACTAGTAAATTTTTGTTTCATATCTGTATTAGGTTAACATCATCGTTAAGAATTTGTATTTTAGACCCAGGTGAATCTTGAAAGCTAAAATGCAATATTAATGAATGCAAAAGTTTAAATAATCTAAGAAATTCCCTTTTTCCTGTCATAAATAATATTAAAAAATGTACTATTAACATTGAAAATTATGTAGATTGTAAGAATTGTTATATAATCTCAAAAATTGTTAACTGATAGTTAAATTTGTCTCAAAGTGAAGTTTGTTTTAACAAACCTTTATTAATAGTATTCATTTATTTATGTGTATTTATCTTTCCTATAATATTAACATATATTAGAGATTTATACATAATATCAAAATTACATTATAATTAAATAACTATACTTTTAGCTCCTCAAAGTAAACATGTTTATTTTCAATATCTATATTATTTTTAATAATTGAAATAACAAAATTATGCAATTTTTATTCATAAAAAAATTTATTTCTAAATTAAATAGTATCACATTTGCAATAAAATTAATTTCTTAATTGTTTAGTAAATAGGTTTTAATGCAGCTAACATGTATTATCTAATTAAGTCTTATGATTTAACTGCTTCAACAGTATTAGAGGAAGACTTTTTAGGTAAATATTTTTGATAATTACTTAAAGATAAAAATCTACTTGGTTTATACTTCTTGTCAGGAAATGCAACACTATATAAAGAAAAATGCTTCAATATTTGCTCAGTCATAGTTAAATCTAATTTATATTCTTTAGCAATTAACTTGGCATTCCATAAATTTGGATCAGTCTGATGTTTATTAAGGAATTCAATTACTTGACGTAAAGATATTTTTCCTTGGGGAACTGAAGTGGCTTCAAAAACACCATATTCAGAAGATTTCACATAAGATCTGTTTTGAGGTAAAACTTTACCATCATCCTTCTTACTTTCTTCTTTAACTGGATCATAAGATGTAATTTTAACAGATTTTAGTCTATCCAACAATTCTGTCCATTGTTCTTTACTTTCTCTTACAACAGGTTCCCTCTTGTTTAATTCGGGACGATGTCGCGAAGCAGGTAGTGGTTTTTCAGATTCGATAACTTTTAATGCTCGATTATCTACGTTAAAATTACGTAATGGTCGTTTAATTAACGATGAAAATACTCTTCCCATTTTATTATAAGCGCTCATACTAGAAACCAGACGACATTTATGACTTTATCGTTGCATATNGCAGGTAGTGGTTTTTCAGATTCGATAACTTTTAATGCTCGATTATCTACGTTAAAATTACGTAATGGTCGTTTAATTAACGATGAAAATACTCTTCCCATTTTATTATAAGCGCTCATACTAGAAACCAGACGACATTTATGACTTTATCGTTGCATATATATCATGTTAATGATATATATGCAACGATATCATGTTAATGATATAATGAAACTCATTATATCATTAACATGATATAATGAGTTTCATTATATCATGTTAATGAAACTCATTTAACATGATATAAATTGCTGTCATTTGGAAAACAGCCCAGAACTATAATAGCAGAGAATTTAAGCTAGCAGTTGTCGACAGTTTCATTAACTGTTAAATAATGGAAACATGTGGTCTTGTCTGAAAACATCTGACAATATAGTTTTTAATCCAAATTAATTTTGAATTTGAATAGTAATTAAGAAAAACTTTTCCATTTTTTTGAATATAAAGTATGTTTTGAAAGCTTAGAGTTTTATAATTTACTATGAAAATTCAAATTTGTTTGGTATTAAATTCAGTTGAGAAGCTTATTTCCATTTGGATATAGTGCTTAAGGAAAAAAGGACTACAGTATAAAAGTAGAAAGAATATACATCTGTTTGTAAACAAACATGAATTAGAGGCTGTTTTCCCTATTGTGTATGGGCCAGTTTGACACAATATTATTACATAAACAATAGTTTGCAATGAGTAATATTATGGCATTAGTTCAAATATGAATTGGGTACTTACATCCATTTGGAAATAAGCTCCTCAATTTATTTTCTGTACATTAGATAAATATTGAAAAATGTATCATATTTTGAGATCCATTTATTTTCTTTTTTAATATTTTGAAATTCTCTGTGTGAAAATTTCTCCCTTTAGTTCTTTTAAATTTTATACTTAATTTTAAATAAATGTTTAAATATGTTTTTAGAATAAATAAAATCATAAAAAATATCATTATCATCATTCAAATCAATTTTTTTAATAAATAAATAAAATGTATTGTAGAATAGCATGAATGTTTATACTATAGCAGGCCTGGCCAACCCGTGGCTCGTCACGTTAAATTGTGTGGCCTGCTAAGTGATATTATGTATTTATTAGAACTTTTGTTTCCCATTATGTGTATACCAAAACAATTAAATAAATGAAAATTTGCATGTGTCATTGTTATAATGCATGTGTGCAAGTATGAACTCTTGGTATAACAATAAAATCTTATTCATTTTGTATTTGTTTTGCTTTTTTCAAAGCATGTTTTCCTAAATTATGGCCCACCGTAATGTTACACGTGATCAAAGTGGCCCGTGAAACAATTTGGGTTGGCCAGGCTTGTACTACAGTATACAATGGTTTTTATAAATATGCTCTTTGATGCCAAAATTTAGAATAAGAATAAAACAAACTGTCTATCAGCATTAAAGTTGTTTACTTGCAAAGTATTTAATTCAAAAACAAGTACTTTCAATGTTGTATGTTCTTCAAGTACCAAATACTTTCAATATTTGCAAAATGTCATCTTCAGGTTGAGTGTATACTATTCAAATTACAATTTTTAAAGTTGTTTTTTAAAAATTGTACAGGGTGTCCGACCTGGGAGTACAACTTTAAAAATGCGAATTACTCACGAACACATACATGTATCATCATACAACAAGGTTCAAAATATTCCTTATTTAATGAAGATCGGAGTATGGTGCGCGATTTCTCGTTCTCGGATCATTGTTCCAATTTTATTTGACAAGACTGTGAACACTGACCAATACTTCTCCATATTTGATGAATTTGTGAAACAACTGGATGACTACGAACTTCAAGAAGGTTACTTCCAACAGGACGAGGTAACATGCCATTCCTCTCATGCCAGTTTGGAAGAGATCCAATTGTTTTTTGGAGACAGGGTGATCTCGAAAGGTTTGTGGCCACCTTGATCATCCAATTTAACTCCCCCAGATTTTTTCTATGGGGATATTTAAAGGGCAAACCCAGGACCATCGAACAACTGAAAGCAAACATTGAGCATGAAATTGCTGCCATCGACAGTGACGTGTTGCAGAGGACATTCTCAAATGTGGAGCATTGTGTTTCCTTGTGCGCGGACTTTGGGGGAGGACATTTTCAGCACCTTTTGTAATGTAGACTTGTTTTCCACTAAATACAGATATGTTCAGTTCTTGCAGCTCACCTTTATGTTCACGTGTTCGCGAGTAATTCGCATTTTTAAAGTTGTACTCCCAAGTAGGACACCCTGTATAATTTGAATGGTGTATGCTCAACCTGGAGATGACATGGTACCAAATTATTTTTTCCATTCTTGGCAGATTTCCATTTTGAACATGCTTTAGTACGTTATCTGCATGGTAAGCAGGAGTTGTGGGTTCGAGTCCTGCACCAGGCTGATTTTTTTCTTCCAGTAGTTCTAAATTATTTATATTAATTAATTAAAAATTATAATTATTAAAGTTATTAAGAGATGGTGCCTAACACCTTCCTATTGCCAAATNTTCGATCCTTTGAAATTTTAGTTTAATTTTTTTTATATAGCATGAAAATACATTATAATCAAAATCATAATACAACAATTTTGGATAAAATGCAATTAACTTTTATTGAATATTAACATTGGGCTTTTTTCCAATTTGGTGATTTTACATTTATAAAACTATTTGTAATTGCAAATTAAAAAGTTAATTCAAACTACTTCATTCACATTCATTCATTCATCATTTTCATTTAAACAATTTTTAGTTAAAAAGCATATTTTGAAATTTTTTGAAGCTTAGAATATTTACATTTATTATATAGTAGGATCTTCTTTTATATGTAGGATTGTTGTAAGCATTTCTAAATGAAAAATGATTAGGTTAACTCACTCCTAGTCTACTGACTCTGTGTGAAGTCAGTAAACCATTTTTCACCATCTTCTAATATTCTGAACACAGAACTACTGAATGTGGGGATTAACCTGTTTGTGTGTGTTTTTCTTTAGTAGTGTATTCAATACTAAAGAAAAACACACACAAACAGGTTAATCCCCACATTCAGTAGTTCTGTGTTCAGAATATTAGAAGATGGTGAAAAATGGTTTACTGACTTCATACAGAGTCAGTAGACTAGGAGTGAGTTAACCTAATCATTTTTCATTTAGAAATGCTTACAACAATCCTACATATAAAAGAAGATCCTACTATATAATAAATGTAAATATTCTAAGCTTCAAAAAATTTCAAAATATGCTTTTTAACTAAAAATTGTTTAAATGAAAATGATGAATGAATGAATGTGAATGAAGTAGTTTGAATTAACTTTTTAATTTGCAATTACAAATAGTTTTATAAATGTAAAATCACCAAATTGGAAAAAAGCCCAATGTTAATATTCAATAAAAGTTAATTGCATTTTATCCAAAATTGTTGTATTATGATTTTGATTATAATGTATTTTCATGCTATATAAAAAAAATTAAACTAAAATTTCAAAATTAAATTTTAAAAATAATGTGAAATTGTTTGTTTTTAAAAAAAACCATTAATACCTAAAATAGATAAGACTTTTTGTTATGTTTTTATATGTTAAATTTGTGTAATATTTAAAATTAGTACATTTAATATGTAAAAACTTATTAATTATATTAAATTTATATAGTGTTTAGTTAAATTTTATATTATATTAAATGTTTTTAATTATTTATTTTCATTTATCACATAGGAAAGTAAGAAGGATGATGGTAAAGTTTTACCTCAAAACAGATCTTATGTGAAATCTTCTGAATATGGTGTTTTTGAAGCCACTTCAGTTCCCCAAGGAAAAATATCTTTACGTCAAGTAATTGAATTCCTTAATAAACATCAGACTGATCCAAATTTATGGAATGCCAAGTTAATTGCTAAAGAATATAAATTAGATTTAACTATGACTGAGCAAATATTGAAGCATTTTTCTTTATATAGTGTTGCATTTCCTGACAAGAAGTATAAACCAAGTAGATTTTTATCTTTAAGTAATTATCAAAAATATTTACCTAAAAAGTCTTCCTCTAATACTGTTGAAGCAGTTAAATCATAAGACTTAATTAGATAATACATGTTAGCTGCATTAAAACCTATTTACTAAACAATTAAGAAATTAATTTTATTGCAAATGTGATACTATTTAATTTAGAAATAAATTTTTTTATGAATAAAAATTGCATAATTTTGTTATTTCAATTATTAAAAATAATATAGATATTGAAAATAAACATGTTTACTTTGAGGAGCTACTAAATGTTGCATATTTGTTTTTTTTACTTGGGTATTGGGTACACAGGTACACAATTATTATAATACTATGCTCCTTATAGTGTTTTAGATTTTGAGTGTTTTGTCAAGTCCTTTCACTTTCATTTGGATTTTATACTCAATCTAAAACTCAATGAATTAAAGTTCAAATTTTACAGCACTAAATTGAAATCATT